GATGCCAAGGGTCTGGCCGGGCCCCGAGAGGAGGGCCCCGTCGACCCATAGCTCACGGAACTGACGTGTGAACTAGATCATACTACCATTGCGCGCCGCGCGAGGCCTCCAATGACTTCATCATAAAGCAGGGTGCGGCCAGCGTTGGTGCCTGACGCCGAGAGAATCGTTCAACCATGAACGATCGGCCGTTTCCGAAACGCCGGATTCTTCAACACGGGCCGAGTCTGGGTCGCCGGCGGCGTTCAAGGCGGAACGCCGGCGGCGCGGTCGCCGCCAGTCGACCACGACGACGTGACCATAGCGTGCCGACGTGGGCCCCCCTCGGAGATCCTGGGCCGACGTGGTCGGCGCCTCCGGAGGGCGTGGTTTCGAGAGGAGGCGGCTTGCCACGGACACCTCCTTAGAGTCCTCCGCCGCGCCCCCGAGGAGGCCCGGCGAGGTCCGCGTCGTGCCCCCCAGGCCCCCGCGGCGCCGATCGCAAAGCGCACTCTGGCGTAACCTCACCCCTTTGCTTCGCACGGGGGCAACTGAAGGGGCCCCAGCACACACAAATAAATACACAGAAAAAAAAAAAATGCCCCATATCTTCCCAGATGTTCCAGCTTCCTGTCTTCCCCCCCCACTTCCCACACTTTCCCATATTTTCGGGGGAATCGAGGATTCATTGTGTCTGTGTGTTTCTTTTCGTCCTGAGTAACGGGTCCCGAGGGCAACGAGCCCTGGACCCCCACGAGAGAGAGCCGCGGCGTCGGACGACGGGCGGGGAAGGAGGGAAGAGGGAGGGGGGGAGGACAGAGAATGGGAGAGGGAGGAGGAGGAGGAGGAGGAGGAGGAGGAGGAGGAGGAGGAGGAGGAGGAGGAGGACCAGTTCTTCGCCCCGCGCCGTTCTCGGGCGGTCCCGCTGGCCCGCGGATGGGCCCCGAGAGCGCGAAAACACCGTGAATCGGGCGCGGCCAAGAGGGGGGTACCCAAGAGGGGGGGGGGGGGGGGCGCAAATCATGACCGGCGGCATGTGCGCGGCCCAGCGGGGGGGCCAGGGACGACATGAAACGAGAAAAGGCGCCGGGGAAATCCGGGGAAATCCCATGGCCCTCGCCATGAGATCCACCCCCCCCCCTAGTCATCCCCCCCCCCCTCACTTCCGCCCCCGAGCGAGACGCCTCGGGGCACGCTCCCCTCGGGACCCGCTTCCCCCCGTGCCGATCTGAGGTCGCCGCTCCTCGCAGATCCCTCCGCGAGAGCCACCTCCCGGAGAGCCCCGCGCTCCGCCCGCGCAGCTCCAGGGGGTAGAAAAGCCCTCGGGATCGCACAGCACCGGGGAGTGTCGGGCGTGACGCCTGCCCCCCCCCCCCCCAGTTGAGAGGAGGAGGAGGAGGAGGAGGAGGAGGAGGAGGAGGAGGAGGAGGAAGAGGAGGGAAGAGGAGGGCCCCGGGCCGAGGAGGGGCCTGCGTCGCTGCGTCGCAACCTCCGCCTCCGCCAGCCCTCTCCCGCCGGGCCCCCCTGCGCCGCTCCCCGCGGCTCCCGCGGGCAGGCTCGAAGTGACGAGCGAACAACACACACCCATACACATAGGGAGGTCGGAGGGAGAAGGACTGGCTACCGGTAAGGGTGCGGGTTGTTGGACCCCTGGGAAGGCTCCCGTTCGGGCGGGGACCCCCATCCGACAACACGCACCCATAGCTCATTCCGTCCCCCCTACGGGTATGGGTGCGTGCTGATCGTTCGTCACGAAGTAGGGCGGGTGTCAGGCCAGATTGGCTCAGCCTTCGCTCCAAGACTCCCAGAGCACCTGGCGCAGCCAAGGCGGAGCATCAGCAAGAAGCACTGGAGGCCCCGGGGCCCTTCAGATAATCTCGGAGCGAGTCGCTGTCGCGCCCCCTGCCTCCTGTCAAGGTGTCCGCAGCTCGGCTCCGGTCGGAGAGCGGCCCGTCTGGCGGGGGGGTGCGGCGGACGCCTCGCCACCGCTCCGACGTCGAATTCCCTGCTTGTCGATCCCGCGCGAGCACTTTGATCGCAAGATGCTCCAAGGTGCCGCTCGACGGTCCTCGCCGGGGACAGAGCGCACACGCCCGAGCGGTGCCAAGACGCGGGCCTGGGCCGCAGGGGAGGAGCCGGCGGGTGCCGAGCGCGGCGGAGCAGGGCGGCGCAGAGCGGGGCCCACAGGGTTGGAGGCCAGGAGATTGGCACCAACACCAGCACAGGGGATTGCCTCCTCAGGGGGAAGATGATCCTAGATTTCGGTGTTGGTGGTAACATTTCGGTCACCTTGGAAGCCAGAAGATTACCACCATCACCGAGATCGGGATCGTCTTCCCTCGGTGGAGGCACACCGCCGATCTTGGGGTTGGTGTCAACCTCTAGGCCTGCGACAGGGGGCCACGAGAGGCGTGCCGAGGCCTCGATGTAGACCTGGGTGTTCAGCTTCCGCTTGAGCTCGTCGCCTCGCACGCGCCGCCGGCTCGCACCAGCCATCGCTCGGCCTCCTCCGCAGCCTCCTCCGCCACCGCCTCACCACCTCCCTCCTGCCAACATGTGATGAGCTGCTCGGCCTGCTCCTCCTCCTCCTCCTCCTCCTCCTCCTCCTCCTCCTCCTCCTCCTCCTCCTCCTACTCCTACTCCTCCTCCTCCTCCTCCTCCTCCCGATTCACCTCCCCCCCACCAGTTCTCCTGCGCACACTCCCAAGTCCTGCTCCTCGAAGTGGTAGCTGCTTGATCCTAGGACTTGCTGCGGGGTTGCCTCTACCAGCCAGCCTGCTCCCAGCGGCAACGTCCTGCTCAAACACTACAGAGGCCGCTCCCCAGCCCGGGGGGCGGGGGCCGGTCGCCCAGCGCCGTCGGGTCCAGGCCGAACGCCTCCAGGTTGGCGATGCGCGTGACGTTGTGGGCACCCTGCGCACGGAGGAGCGCTCGCGACTCACGAGGCCAGGACCGTTCGGATGGCAGTCGGCGGCGAGCGAGGGGGGGGGGGGGGAGAAGGCCCTCTCGGAAGGCGGCGGGGCTCCTCGAAGCCCTCCGCGGAAAGCCCAGGGAGCACCTCTCAGGAAGGCCCGTGCATTGCCGAGCCTGCCGGGAGGGAGGGCCCACCCCTTCGCCGGTGCCCCCCTCCCGACGCGGGCCCGCCGCCGAGGCCGGGGGAGCGGGCGCGCGGCAGCGCAGGGCCTCGCGCGGACCGCGCCCCGGGGGTCGGGGTCTCGCGCCGCATCGCCGATGCATTGCTTCGGCGATGTCGGCGTGGAGAAGCATGGGCTTAGCGACGGGCCTCGTCGGCGACGCATCGGCGACGCGGCGCGATCCTTCGACCCCATCGACTCGGACCCCACCTGGAAGCCTGGGAGCCCTAGGAGTTACCAAACGAAGGGTCACGTCTGCGGACACCCGGGCCAGCCTGAGACCAGGTGGGGGAGGAGGAGGGACTGGGAGTGGAACTGGGAGTGGGGATGGTCAATATTCCTCCGAATCTGTCAGAGGCCTTCGTGACGTGTGCGAGCGTGGCCAACTCAACTCGGCGTCAACATCTGCAGAGGGAAGGGGGCGGAGGGCGGGTTGAGGACGGATTGGTCAGGCGTGGCAGCACCGATGCTAGAGAGGGGAGCCAGAGGTCGCGATCGGCCCGCGCGGCGGGTGAGGAGTCCAACTCGGAATGTCACAGAGACAAGGTGCGCGGACCATCATCCCCCACATTCAGTTGAGGAGGCTACTCCTCTGAGGTTCCCGTAGGAGCAATAGATAAGGGCTATCAAGCCCGATTCAAGGACCATTAAGCCGGATCCGGCTGGAATGAACTCAAGATTAAGCTGGACTGCCTCGGAAAAAACGGAATTGAGGGAGCTTAAACGGGTGTATGCTCTTTACGTCTACGAATATACCAGCGCCGATGCTGAATTCTCCCTCCCAGGAATTTCATCAAAACGTTCAGGTGGAGCAGGAGGGACAGGAGGAGGTCGTGGCGGAGAGGGAGGAGCAGGATGAGGGGCGATGGGGGCGCGCGCGCGGGGGCGTGCAAGGAATGGGGCCAGGAAGGGGTGGGCCGATGCTCGAACAGAGGTGGGCGTTCCCTATTCAAGATGACTGCCGAACCCTCCCCTCCTCATCCTCCTTCTCCTCCTCCTCCGTCTCCTAACGACAGCCACCAATGAAGAGCGCCTGCAAGGAAACATGGCGCACCATCGCTACGTCGATGACAACGATTGGACCAATAAGCTGGGTACCTACACAGACAAACATGACAGGATAACACAATAAGGAATCATGGAGAAGGTGTTGGCATGCGAATCTCCCACTTCTGAAAATTCCTTCAAGGCCTAAGCCAGACAGCGCCATCGCATACAGAGTGCCCCGATCCACACACACACACACACTCCATGGAACGAACACATGAACAAACTTACCAAGCCAACAAACCTAATTTGACAGACCATCGACGAGGACAATTGCATGGACAAAATGTGATTGGAAAGCGTGAGAATTTGAACTATCTTGGCCATTGAATCCACGAGGGAAGAGTTGGAAGGATGAGCCAGTGTAAAGGAGACGGCTCGGGGGATCCTTCGCGCAAAACGTAATGTTGCTTTGATGCTGCTAATCCATCTTTGCAATACTCCCTCATCCGTATCCAACTCTTCTTCCGCGTCCTCATGACTGACAACACCGTCGATCTAATGTTGCGTTGCGTTGCGATGCTGCCGCTTGTTGCTTGTGAAGATGGCATCTCGGTCTCATGTCGTGTGGCGTGCTTGTCTTTTCGACAACAGGATCCAAGCTCGTGATGTGTTCACATCGGATACCTTGTCTACAGAAGCATGGCCTGGTGGGGCTGGGGCACATTAGTACTTTCGCCCCCCCAACCCCAGGCCGCGCGCTTGGCGCGAAACCAGCACCGCATCATAGCTGGCGCCGGGGGGGGGCACCTGCTCAGCGTAGGTGTGCGCCTATGCGCGCACGTTCTGAGGAACAGGCGCTATGATGCTGCTCACCGTCCACAGCGCTCGCCCATCGAATCACACATCGCCATGGAAACTCGCCTCTGCAACCGAGAACTCGCGCGCGGGCTGACCGCCGACGGCCGCAACCTGCAGCAGCGACAGGCGCCTGCTGCACGACTCCGCGGGCCTCGCCGCCTCCGTGTGGTCGTCCTCTCCCAGCAGCCCCCCGACCGCGAACCCCGCGCCCCCCAGGTCCCTGACATAGAAATTCAGGTACGCGATCCCATGCTGCGTGAGCCCATGGATCACCTTCACGCCCACCTTTCGGGGAGACGTAAGACTCGGGTACGGGGGACTCGGGTTGGCCCGACGGGGCCATCATAAAAATGACGAGGCCCAATCTGAAATTTGATGCGAGCTCCCGCTGCAGACATCCCACGGAAACTGGACCGTCAAAATCCAGGACGCGCTCGTCAACAAAAACGTCGGCAGACCCGAGTTCCGGCTTACTCGGGTCTTGCGTTTCCCCGAACCTTCCCAAAATATGACCACGTGGGCTTCTCCCGAGGCGCGGCGCCAGCGCGGAAGCGCAGGCCGCCCATGCGCTTCGCCTCCGCCCAGGCTCCCGTAATGTTTAGCTCTTGGAAGTACATGTCTGCGCAATGTCCACCCATTTGGCGCGCGTCAGCTTCTACGCGAAGCAGCGCCACGTCCTGACCACGTGGGATCCGCCAACCCCCGCTTGCCAGAGGGTGGAAAAAGCGTGTGCGATGATTGACTGTCCGCCCTTCCCCCCTCCCCCCCCTCCCGTGGGATCCAAACATGCGTGCAAAGGGGGGAAGAGGACACGAGCTCGCCGCTGCACCTCCAGGCCCCTCGGAGTCACGAAATCCGCCACTCATGGTCCCCCGAATGCCACAACGCCTTCCAACACGGCTCAAGACTGGCCCCACAGGCCCAGACGGCCTCAAGATCACCCGAGACGGCCCCAACACGACCCACGAAGCCCCCAAAACGCCCCAAGAGGGGCACGAGGGAAAACCCCCTGGGGAGCCTGAAGAGGCACAAATCCGACGCCTTTGGAGCCTAGTACGTCTTTTGCGTTGGACTCGAGCGAAGCCGGGTTTTCGAGCCGCCTTATTCAACCGATTTCCGGAGAATCCGGATTTTCGAGCCGCCTTACCCCGCCGACCTCCGGAGGAGAATTTTCGTTCTGCCTTGCCCGGCCGTCGTTCGGAGCAGAATTTTCGAGCCTCCGTACAGTTCCGCACCCTCGCCTTTACAAGCCCCTGCACGCCCCAGGCGGTCTGCGAGCCCATCACAATCCAGGAAGCCCCCAAGAGGGCCCAGAGACCAGCCCGAGGGGGCCCCAAGATGGCCCGAGAGGCCCCCAAGATTACCGAAAAAGGCCCTCAAGAGGTCCCCAAGGGGGCCTCGGAGAGACCCAAAAGGGCCGCCACAACACACAAGATGACGGGCAGCACGACGGGGAGCAAGACATACGAGATCGGAAGCCGCGCACACCCTCAGATCGGAAGCCGCGCACATCCTCTCGGGTGGGTCGGCGGAACGGCGCAGGCCTGTCAGATGTTGATCAAAACATGCCTGCCGGGCCTCATCAAGTCGAACCGCTGGCCGTAGACATTCTGCAAGTGTGGATCGCCCACTGCAGAGATGGACCCCGTGGAAACTCCGCCCATGCTCGGTGTTGCGGCCGTGGGGCTGGGCGTAGGGCTGGACGTCGGCGAGGGCGTTGGATCAGGCGTAGTGAGCGTAGGGCTGGACGTCGGCGAGGGCGTTGGATCAGGCGTAGGCGTGGCGGTTGGCATCACTGCGGGACAAAACACTGCCTGCGAACCTGGAGCCCCCTGCGTGTAAACCGGCTCCCGGTGCCAGCCTCCCATCAGCCAATCGACACCGTTGTAATTAACAACGGCTGTACCTGGGTCAGCACGAAGATACCGACGTCGTCACTCCCCAGACCTCTACTGGGGCACACTGTGACCAAACTTTCGAGAAGAACCCAACCGTGGCGACGAGGGCTCTCGAGGACGAGCAGCGGTATCGGTGCCTTTCCCTCCTCTGAGTGCCTGTGCAGTGGTTCACGACAGTCGCCTGTCCCCCGCACTCCTGGCACCCCAGGACTGCAGACGGGGCACCGATGCTGTTGCCGCGCCTGCACTCGAAGCAGTTCCCCACAGGGCAGCCGAAGCCGAAGTACGTGTAGCCCGAGGCCCAATTCATGCACTCGGAGATCGAGCAGGACCAGTACATCTCGGAGAGCGGCCGGGAGGCACCCAGGGACTCGTAGCAGGCAACGAGGCTGTACGATGTTCTCGTGGCGTTGGCGGCCATACGGTGCGTTCCTGTCGTCGGCGGCTCCCACTGCGCCGGCGTGACAGCGCAGCACTGGATCGCGGACGTCCACACGCATGAGAATAGCAACGCCAGACGCGCCATGGCAGGCTGTGAGAAGGGCTGCGTAGCGTAGTATGTGGCAAATGCCCGTAAATGTATGGCGCTCGGCCAGTCGCTGAAGTCCGCCCCAAAACGGTGGCAGACTGCTGCAAGTTCGTGGGTGGCTCGCGATGAGTCGCTGAAGCTTGGGCCAGAATCGATGCATGCGGGTGCTGCGCGAACAGTGGGCTCGTGCAGTGAGGAACCTGCTATGAGAAATCTAGTGACACATCCTTCCTCGACGCGGACCTTCCTGAGGCGCCCCAGGGCGATGCGGCCCAGCGGGAGATAAGAAACTCCCGTGGGGCATCCATCGGCAGGCCAGCTTCTTTTTTGGTGCGCGCACTGCACAAGGGCAGACTCTGCAAATGATCGCATCTATCAGAATGGAGATCCGCTCAGGGAGGTCAGTCACGGTACGGCACCGTGTGGGGCCTGCCCGGGGCGTGCGGGCAACACCTGTCGCTGTCGTCATCACCGTCATCATGATACGACTCCGATGCAGATTCCAGATCGCCCGCGCAAATGCTCGATGCGGAAAAGACCAACCTTCCAACCATACATGTGTTTATCCTGTGCGTTCCTTCCCCCGGACAGCTGTAGGCTCAGAAAAAACCCGAGCAGAACTGCTGAATGAATGCTTGGATTCACTGGCTGAAGCAAATTTGGGCTGAGAGCCCAGGTGGACGCATGTGAACTGACTTGAAGTGGGCATTTGTGTAGGTGGACGGAGCTACACTGAACTTGACTGGGCTCGGCGGAACTGGCCTGACCCTGACTCAGGTGGACGAAGGTTGGGTGACATGGGCTGGTATTGCCGGAGCTGGTCTGAATTGAACTGGCCATGGCCTCGACCAGTCCACGTTAATTATTGCTGGGCTGGACGGAACTAGGCTGAGCCGGACATGACCAGACTGAACTGGACCAACTTTGACCGAACATCATTTCCGTCCCAGACGGGCCGGCGCAATACCGCTGGTGAACCCTCTGTGGATGACCCGGGCACAGCTCATGCTAGCATAACGCGGCTGGGCAATTCGAGAGAAGAACAAAGAGAGAGGATAAAGCGAGAGAGAGAGAGATAGGGAGGCAAAGGCAGCAAGGGAGAAAGCGAGACATAGAGAGAGAGAGAGAGAAAGAAAAAGAGAGAGAGAGAGAGAGACTAGTTAACGTTTCCGAACTCGATTTCTACGTGAGTGGTCCCGCCCATTCGTTCCCAACGGGCCCATGAAGGACTCCCTGATCGATCCCTTCGGAATGCAACCTGGCTGCGGGAAATGGTATCAACTGGCGGTCCCAAAACTGTTGAAACCAAGAGACGGCGCGCTCTACACCAACGGTCTGGAATGTATCCGATGCCGTGGTGAGTCCCCTTTGGAGTGCCTGGCGGGGTGCGTGGTCGCATTTCGTCATTTGGAGGCTCTTGGGAAAGAGCGAGGGGGGAGAGAAACAGACAGAAAGAGAGAGAGAGAGAGAAAACAACAAAAAAAAACGAGAGCGTGTTTTTTTTATGTGCTAGAACCACGCGCGCTTCGCCCGCGCTTAGGTCCTAGTCAGAGCTGATTCAGGGCTGCCCGCCACCACGGTGCATTCCTGCACGCTGTATCTCTGACGAGCTCGGTCGGGACCGCGAAATCATCATACACTGCTTCCGTCGCCAACATTGGCCTCGACCGCGCAGCTTCGCGCTCGCTTAGGTTTTACCGCAAACGCTCCCGATTGCAAACCCAATTTTGGACGACGCGGCGACGACGACGGCAGCCGCTGGGAAATTCGGAGGCGCGTCACGGCGGATCTCGAGGGGCGCCCGCGAGGCCTCCAAGGCCGTCTGGGGCACCTTTTGGGCTGTCTCGGCGCCCGCTTTGGGGCCTTTGAGGCTGTTTTGGGGCGATACTTGCGGCTTCCTGGGCCGTTTTGCAGCGCCTCCAAACCGAACAGGTAAGAACTTCCAAATCCTTCAAAACTGAAAAAACAATCCATCACATGTGTCTCTTGGGCGTCTCTTGGGAGGCCTGTTGGGGGCGTTTTGGAGCGTCTTGGAGGCCTCTTGGGCCTTTGGAAGCCATCGTCCACGTCATCGAGCGGAATTTCGTCGATGATCTGCCCTCAAGGGGCGCTTTGGGGCCCCTTGGAGCACTGGCGTCCTGTTTTGGGAGCTGCCTTGGGCCGTCCAGGGGCGTCACCGGAAGCCCGGGACGCCCATTTATAGCCTTTTTCGGCCGTCTGGGCGGCCGCTTGGGAGCCTCTGCATGTTTGGGGCGTCTAGGACCGTGTTGGAGCGTCGTGAAGCCGACAATGGAGAAACGCTGAAATCCATCAAAAACCTCAGGATAATCAATTCGTGTTGCATCGTGGGGCCCTCTCGAAAGGCCTCTTGGAGCCTCGTGGGGCGTGTTGGAGGACCCGTGGGCCATCTGGAAGCAATCGTGGGCGTCTTGGAACGAGAGTTCGGCGACTCTCTGCCCTCAAGGAGCGTTTTGGGGGCCCTTGGAGCACTGGTGTCCTCTTTTGGGAGATGTCTTGGGCCGTCTGGGGACGTCCCCGCGGCTGTCTGGGACCGTGTTGGGGCCGTCTGGAAGCTGAAGAGACAGAAACGCTGGATTCAGGCAACAACCTAAGACAAATCACAGAATGCTGCCTCTTGGGGCCCTCTTGGGAGGCCTCTTGGAGGCTTCTTGCGGCGTGTTGGAGGTTCCTTGGGCCGCTCGGAAGCCGTCGTGGACGTCTTGGAGCGGGATTTCGGCGATTCTCTGCCCTCAAGGGGCGTTTTGGGGCCCCTGGGGACCCTGGTGTCCTGTTTTGGTGGCTGTCTTGGGCCGTCTGGGGGCGTCCCCGGAGGCCCGGGACGCCTATAAGCGCCTTATTCAGCCGTCTCGGCGGCCGCTTGGGCGCTTATGAGAACGTGCTGGGGCGATACTTGGGACGTCGAGGACCGTGGAGCGTCGTGAAGCCGAAAATGCAGAAGCGCTGAAAATTAAGTGACTTTGCCTCCTGTGGTCCTCTTGGGAGGCCTCTTGGGGGCCTCTTGGAGCGTCTTGGAAACCTCTTGGGCCGTCTTCTAGCCATCGTGGGCGTCTTGGAACTAGAGTTCGGCGACTCTCTGCCCTCCAAGGAACGTTTTGGGGGCCCTTGGAGCACCGGTGTCCTCTTTTGGGGGCTGTCTTGGGCCGTCTGGGGGCGTTCCCGCGGTTGTCTCGGCGCCCGCTTGGGGGTCTCCGAGGCTGTGCTGGGGCGATACTTGGGGCGTCCAGGGCCGTGTTGGGGCCATCTGGAAGCTGAAGAGACAGAAACGCTGGATTCAGGCAACAACCTAAGACAAATCACAGAATGTTGCCTCTTGGGGCCCTCTTGGGAGGCCTCTTGGAGGCTTCTTGGGGCGTGTTGGAGGTTCCTTGGGCCGCTCGGAAGCCATCGTGGACGTCTTGGAGCAGGATTTCGGCGATTCTCTGCCCTCAAGGGGCGTTTTGGGGCCCCTGGGGACCCTGGTGTCCTGTTTTGGTGGCTGTCTTGGGCCGTCTGGGGGCGTCCCCGGAGGCCCGGGACGCCTATAAGCGCCTTATTCAGCCGTCTCGGCGGCCGCTTGGGCGCTTATGAGAACGTGCGGGGGCGATACTTGGGACGTCGAGGACCGTGGAGCGTCGTGAAGCCGAAAATGCAGAAGCGCTGAAAAGTAAGTGACTTTGCCTCCTGTGGTCCTCTTGGGAGGCCTCTTGGGGGCCTCTTGGAGCGTCTTGGAAACCTCTTGGGCCGTCTTCTAGCCATCGTGGGCGTCTTGGAACTAGAGTTCGCACCGGTGTCCTCTTTTGGGGGCTGTCTTGGGCCGTCTGGGGGCGTCCCCGCGGTTGTCTCGGCGCCCGCTTGGGGGCCTCCGAGGCTGTGCTCGGGCGATACTTGGGGCGTCCAGGGCCGTGTTGGGGCCATCTGGAAGCTGAAGAGACAGAAACGCTGAATTCAAGCAACAACCGAAGACAAATCACATAATGTTGCCTCTCGGGGCCCTCCTTGGAGGCCTCTGGGGAGCTTCTTGGAGCGTGTTGGAATATCCTTGGGCCCTCCAGCAGCCAGTGCGGACGTCTTGGAGCAGGATTTCGGCGATTCTCTGCCCTCAACGGGGCGTTTTGGGGGCCCCTGGGAGCCCCGGCGTCCTGCTTTGGGGGCTGTCTTGGGCCGTCTGGGGGCGTCCCCGGAGGCCCGGGATTGTCTCGGCGACCGCTTGGGGGCCTCCGAGGCTGTGCTGGGGCGATACTCGAGGCGTCCAGGGCCGTGTTGGGCCGTCTGGCAGCTGAAGATATAGGAACGCTGGATTCAGGCAAAAACCTGAGACAAATCATAAAGTATTGCCTCTTGGGGCCCTCTTGGGAGGCCTCTGGGAGGCTTCTTGGGGCGTGTTGAAGCTTACTTGGGCCGTCTGGAAACCATGGTGGGTGCTTGGAGCGGGATCTCGAAGATTTGGGGCCTCTGGGAACCCTGGTTTTTTGTTTTTGGGGCTGCCTCGGGCCGTATGGGGGCGTCCCCAGAAGCCCGGGACGCCCGCAGAGTGCCTTTGTCGGCTGACTCGGCGCCCGCTTGGGGGCCTCCGAGGCCGTGCTGGGGCGATACTTGGTCTAGGACCGTGTTGGGGCGTCCGGAAACTGAAGATACAGAAACGCTGAATTCAAGCAGAAACCTACAGAATGTTGCCTCTTGGGGCCCTCTTGGGAGGCCTCTGGGAGGCTTCTTGGGGCGTGTTGGAGGTTCCTTGGGCCGCTCGGAAGCCATCGTGGACGTCTTGGGGCGGGATTCCGGCGATTCTCGGCCCTCTTGGAACGTATTGGGGCCTCCGGGATCCCTGATGTTCTGTTTTGGGGGTTGTCTTGGGCCGTCTGGGGGCGTCCCCAGAGGCCCAGTCCCCCCATGCCCTCGGGAGGTCCCTGGGCGCGGACAGGGGGCCTCGTCCCCCGGGATATCTATGTATATGTGTATATATATACGCACATACACATCGACTTACATGAGTTATACATACACACGTGCATACACGCATAAGGAGACGAGAGGGAGAGAGGACATCAAGTACATATGTATATGTATACAGATATATTTGTGTATTAGACAGAGAAAATAGCACACCACTAGAGACCAATACATAAAGGGACATATGTACATATAAAGTGTGATAACGTGAGAGAGAGAGTGAGAGACAGAGGGGGAGAGAGACACACACATATATATATATATATAATTATATGTATATCGAGAGAAAGAGAGAGAGAGAGAGAGAGAGAGAGAGAGAGAGAGAGAGAAAAAGCCCGATCGAGGGGGAGGGAAGGAGGCGGGCAACAGACAGGGACCCCCCCTCCCCCAACAAACACACAAACAAACACACATTCACTCACACA